TGCTGCAGTCCTATTATTACTACTATTGTTCCTGCTGCTGCTACTGATACTACTAGTAGCATGATCTAAGAGAAGTGATCAGTGCCTTCAGGTATGTGTTTGTCATTGAGAAGTCAAATTTTGCTATAAGAAAAAATAAAACATTTTCTGGCCAACTTCACGTAATAGTATTTTAAAGTACCTAGTACCTTAAAAAAGCAGGACGGAACATTACACTCATTACTGGAGTCTGCATAATTTCCTCCTTGCCAGTAAATGTAGTTTATCACAGTTACACCATCCTGAATTAAACCCAATATTTTTTGAATATTACCACTCTTACTTACATACTAGATAATTCTTTCATCATTTTAGTTCTGTTTCTGTAATATATTTTATCCTTCCTAGATCTATGTTTAGTCTTCTAATGTGACAAAACTAATTGTTGTTGGAGAAGTGTGATGAGTGCTTTCTACTTTTCTTTTAAAAAGTACCAGAATAGATATTTGATTGAACTTCCTAGGTGTTGGCTTGCCTCATAAGGTCTTGAAAAGGTGTTCAAAATGAGAGGAAAAAAGCTTTTATTATAATGGTTAAGATCGATATTTAATATTGCCAATGCAAATACATAGTCATTCATTTGAATCCTAAGGTAGGTGAAGATTTTTGTTCTAGATCATGAAAACATGTAAAATTATTCCATTTTTTTGTAAAATCTTTTGCCCTTTCAAAATAATTCAGGCTGTCTCTGGGTTAAATTGTTCATTCAGCTTTCATAATAGTAACTGTTTAACTCGACCAGTCTAACTTTAAAAAAAAAAGGAAAAAAAAATATAGAACACAAAAGACTTGATGTCAGGACTGTTATTCTGCATGTCATTCAGGAAGAATTTATTTTCATAAAGCCTTTGAGAATTTTGTTAATATGAAAAGGAAGTCTTGGACAGCAGTAGCTATTAAAAAGCTTTTTTCTTAAATAGGGGTTTTAAAGTTTGTCCACAGAAATTAATGGAAGAGAAGATTCAAGACTGCAGACTGGCTGTTGACAGGGACTTCTGTAAGTTCACAGAAGTTCACAGAGGATTTGCTGGTGGAAGGGCTGATACTCAATGAAATTGATTCACTTTACAGATATTTAGTATTCTGGCAGAAGAACTATTTACTCTGGGAAAAATCTAAAGCATAAGAAACCAAGTCCCTTGAGTAGGTGAATCAGAGCAATGTTTCTGCTTCAGTTATCCCTTAAAACAGTGAGCATTCACTTTGAAAAAATCTACTCTTGAGGCATAACGTTAATAGGACACAGAATGGATCTGGCTGTTTTATAATATGCAGGCCTGAAATACATGTCAGCTCTGATTACCTTAAACTGGAAATCTGACAAACTGCTGCAAGAAATGTGTCTAATTAACAAAACTGTACTACTGAAAGGGACCAGTTATTAGAGTGGTTTGGAGATTGCAGGTGAGTTGTACACCTAAAAAAGATTAGAGTTTGTATTTATTTTATAATAAAACAACAAAACCAACCAAACAAAAAAAAAGATTGTAAAGTCTCTCTTAATTTGTTCTCATTCTCTCTCCCCGTTATAAACTGTGCTATCATCTTGCATGTGCATCTATGTAGTATACACAATCTGACAAACTTAAAAGACTGCTTTGGTAAATGGTGTCAATATTTTCCCTATTAGCATTTTGTAGTGAGTAGGCTGTCAATATGGAAATTTGCCTGCAAATGTCAATGATTCCATGAGGTAACTGCTTCCAGAAAGATACTAAAAATACCTTGTGCATTAAGAACTCATTTGAACTGGTGAGGTACTTATTAATTCTTTGTGCTGCAAAGCAGCAACAGAACAAATAAAGGTAAACTCTCTGACTCTCCATGGAATCTCTGTGAAAATAATGCAAATGTAACAGACTAGAATGAGACTGCACTGGGTAGTAGTGACAAGCATACAAGAGGACACATTCAAGATGAAGCAAGAAGGTCTTATACACTGCACTGAAACAAAAGTATTTACCATGTATTTGCCACACATTGGACTAAAAAGTTTGATTTTCCTTTCCCATAACTATTCCAAACATGTCAGACCTACAGAACAGTTCTCTGTCTCTGATACTTTGTGCCCTGTGCTCTTCCTGCTTTTTTGCTCCCTTCCTCTTAGATGTGTTATGCCCCCTTGGAGCTTTGAAGATGGCCCTGCTTTGAGCTGGGGACTGGACCAGTGACCTCCAGAAGTCCCTTTCAACTAAGATTTTTCAGTGATCCTCTGATTATCTGATAATCACAGCTGGTTTTGCCTTCTGGCAAAAGATTCTTCAAGATTTCTCTAGTATTAAAATCTTCAACTGCTTCACTATTATTAATGAATTCACTCTCAAATGGATTTATTTGTCCACAACCACTTACTGTGATCTCTGCCTTCCATCTCCTTTCTATGCTTTTGTGTGCTTTCTTTTTATCTGCTTTAATTTTTACCAGTTTCTAGTTCACATACCTCACAAACTACATGTGAGAGCCTCCTGAACAAAGCCTCAAGCACAGAGCTTCTTTGAGTCATAGATAATCTCTAGATGATCTAGAGCACTGGAACAGGCTGCCCAGGGAGGTTGTGGAGTCTCCTTCTCTGGAGACATTCAAGACCCGCCTGGACACCTTTCTATGTGATCTCATTTAGGTTCCTGCTCCAGCAGGGGGATTGGACTAGATGATCTTCCGAGGTCCCTTCCAATCCCTAACATTCTGTGATTCTGTGATCTATTGCGAGATATGATGTTCTGTAATTGTAATTACAGGATTTTCGTAATTGGATTGTCTGATGACATTGACAGAGGGCGTTACCTAAATTAGTTTGTAAGCTGTGTTTCAGTGAGCAATAAAAAATATTCAATCTCTACTGCTCATGCTGTTCTGCACAATCTTAGGACCTACGTCCAGGGAAGGCTCAAACATCTTTTTATACTCATACTACAAAGGGTCTCCTGGAGAGAAAATTGTTTCCTTGAGTAATAAGAGTAAAGGTAGATGAATGGGTCCTTTCTCCCAGCTGTTTAGTGAACAGCCAAATGTAATTCTCCCTCACCTTCACTTCACATTTTAACATTCCTCAAAGTTTTCCACTAAAAGCGTTTTCTACATAGCAAAGGAAAACCTCAGTCTCGCATGAACACAATTGAGGTAGCCTACTTTAGTCCCTTAGTTCATCTGTTATGAAGATATTCATATTTTGGGGGTAAAACTGAAAATAAAAACAGTCAAGGAAAATTTCAGAAAGCAAATGGAATTTGCAAGTCTATGAATATCTTCTGAGTGTGTTCTTATAACTTCTAATGCTAATGTTAATTGGGAGTAGAGGTTCCTATATTATCTAAGTTAAGTCTTCCTTTTCTGTTGACTTTTTTTGTCTCCTTTCTATTCCTTTTTTATGGGGATAATTGACCAAGTTCCAAAAGTGAATTAAAATCATCAGGCGAACACAGACATATTAGTTAAAAAGAGAATGTGAAAAATCTGAAGGGAACTTCTAAACCCCAGGCTCTTTGACTGGTATCCCAGGTGAAAACAGAGAAAGATCTAAGTCTCTCACTTTGTCAAAAGAAACTTCAACATTCTCAAATATTCTTTCATTGGGAGGCTAAATTACTAGTGGCTTTGAATCCAAATATGTGTCTAATCAACATTTTCAGAAGTCTGAGGAGAAGCCATTAAAGATGTGACAAATCTAAGGCATTTTACAAATGACTCTTTTTGACAGAAACATGATGTGGATTGAGATCAAAATAACCAAGGTGAATGAGGTTTAGACTACTAATGTTTCTCTTCTTTATCTTTTTCCTTCTCATGAACACACAGAGGGACATGCACTTTTAAAATGTCAGTCTGTAAGACTCCATTCTTCCATCTTGTTGCGTTTGACAGATTGACTTTGCTGTTTGCTACTGATAGTTTTCATTTAATTGGTGAAAGTAAAATGAAGTTTATCATCAAACTGATTGATAATTATACAGACTTCACAAGGTGTATTTTAGCTAATGATAAAGTTTTAACATATAATTATTAAAAAAAATTCTTAGTAGTAAGAACAAGGGAATTATGGATTTTAAAAATGTGTTTTTTACATTTTATCATGGAAAGTGTATTATCATTGAAACAATTCCCTTTATTGTTCTTTTTGAGGGTGAGCTCTTTTTGAGGATAAGCTCTCACACAAGTACAGATCATAGCCTAAGACACTGTTATTTAAACATTGTTTTCCTACTAGTATGTCACTGCTAAAGCAAGACTCATTAACTACTTTGTGTAATAGCCTAATAACTTGTGAGGAAGCTGAACTCAAGCTTCGGAAAGGTTTATATGTGCCTATGTATTCATAAGTTCTAAAATCTTTAAGGGACTGAGAAAAATAAAAAAGTTTTTAATATTTTTCATATTAGATTTTATTCAATACTGTGATGACACTTTCACATTCATTACAAAGGAATTGATCGTTTCTTAGCATACAGTGTGATAGTATGTGATAACTCAAACAGCTTTCTCCCACTTCAGTTCCAAAGTGACTTGCATTTTTATTGAAATATCAGTGACTTAAGACTCATAATATACTTTCCACTCTTTTTAAAAAAAAAAAAAAAAGTTATTTTTCAAAACAGTTAATGAAGCACAGTGTGGTGGGTTCTTAAATATGTGATTCACAGAGGCGAGGGGTGGAATGTATTGGGTTTGCATGGCAAGGTTTTGGTAGCGGGGGGTGGACATGGGGTGGCTTCTGTGAGAAGCTGCCAGAAGCTTCCCCCCAGTCCCCCCCCCGCCACCCATGTCCCCCCCCCGCTACCAAAACCTTGCCATGCAAACCCAATACACACAGCAAACAACATCTTTTAGTATCTGACTACCTAAGTTTCTGCAGCTGTATATAGTTCTTATCCAGTAACTGTGTTAAGAAACCATGTTTAAATTGAAGATGTCACAGAATATAGACTATTTCTAAAGGCTTAATACCCTCCTTGTTCATTTTGCAGACAATCCTGGGCTAGTGAGCCACGTTCCAGTTGGTGTTAGAATCCTGGACGTCAATGACAACCCTCCAGAGCTTGCCAGAGAGTACGATGTTGTTGTCTGTGAGAATGCAAAGCCTGGTCAGGTAACTCTCACAGTTATCTTTCTCCCAGTAAGAAAGAGGAATTACTTTATTTGTTAATGCCACATATGTATGACGTTCGATTTGAGGAACACGTCATAGTTCTTCTCATTTTCGTAGTTCAGATTTGACTCAACTGTTAACTGTATTAGGCTGAAGGGAGAAGATTTGGGAATTTGTTCAATGTATCTTTCTTGTTGTTGCAAAAAAGTGTTGAAACTAGCTTCAGACAGGAAAAACTCCAGTCTTGTCAAATAAGTGATGGAATTTGACAAGTCACTATCCTGAAGAAAATGGATGAAGCAAATTTAACATCTCTCATCTAAGTGCCATATGGTAGCAAGGTTTCAAATACAGCTCAGTGAAATGGCTGGTTAACATGGCTGCCATACTCACTTTTTGCTGTTGATTGCCCTTGTCTTAGCAGGGTCGTTACGGAAAAGATGTTGAACAGGTTTTTCACAGCTTCGAGCATGGGGAGGGTCAGACCTGAGACTGAAAAGCAGAATCACATTCCAGCCACTGCTCCTGTGATTGATGCACTTCATTGCAGTCCATGGTTTGACAGTTTTACCAAGTACCTTTGCATTTTTGCATAGATTGAGCTCTTACCCAGCAATCTATGCTAGTTTTGCGTCATTAAACAGATTGTAAGTTACAGTTGTGAGCTCGTATCTTTCCTGAGGAATATATTACTGGTAATAACAGTTTTCTCATCAAACCTTTTAAAGCAGTGTACATAAATGCATAGTGGCATATTGCTATTTTTAATGTTGAGACTATAAAAATGCTGTACTTCGTCAAGACTATAGGCTAACCAAACTTATCCTGACTCTAACAGTGGCCAGAAGCTGACACCTAAAGATCAGTATAAGAACATGGCAAGCGTGTATAATATGTAGCTCAAGTATTTCCCTCATCTCAGAACATGTGCAGACTATTTCTTGATCCAAGTGTGATTTCTGTGTTTTTAATAATCCTTTAATAACCATCTTATATGAAACTGTCTAGCTTTTCCTACAACAAACATAAACTTTTGATATCTGCTGCCTCGTGCAGCAAGGAATTTTACAGTTTAATTGCATGTTTCAGGACCACCTACCACCTTCTTTTTTCCTTTTTTTTCTTTATTTTTCAATGCTGTCTTCAATCAATATTTACCAGTCCTTATGTTGAAAGAGAGAGAGAGAGAGCACAGTTGATCCATATTAATTATATCTGTGCCATTCATAAATATCTAGCACATTGCCCCTCAGCTGTCTCTTGTCCAGACTGAAGAGTCCTACTTAACTTGAACAGGCCACGATAAAGCCCTTCTAGACTTCTGATCATTCATCTTGTCCTCCTCTAAACTTTCTCCATTTCCTCTCTATTCACCTTTGAGGTGGGGAATCAAGATTCAAAATGCAGGTATGCAGTAACTGATAATTCATATCATAGTTTGTGCTTCATAGTATATGATGATCTCTGCTTTGTTCTCTATTGCTTTCCTAGCAATTTCTATCAGTGGTTTTGCTTTTTAACCACTAGTAAGCATTGAATGCAAAAAACTGCCTGCCATAATATCAATATCATTAGAAGTAATAGTCAGCTCAGAGATGATCCATCATGTATGTGAAATTAAGACTTTATGTCTATATACAATTAATTTCACTTGTGTTCGTATTGCCTGGCTACTGAGTACTGGAAGGTCTTTGGTGTCAGTCCTTCCTCTTTTCTTCCTTGAACAACTCAGTGTCATAAGTAGATTTGGTGGGCTGGTTATTCATATTCTCTATAAAACGTTTATTATTACACTGACCAATAAGTAGCCCAGTATAAATCTGTGTGGAACAGGAAATCTCTGTGACTTGCTTTCCTTGTGGAATAGACATTTACAGAAGAGACCCTGTTTCCTGTCTTTTGAGCAATGACTTATGCAAGGACTTTCCTTCTTATCTCACAACTGCATTGTTTTCTTCAGTGCTCTTTTTGAGACACTTCATCACAGCCTTTGCAAATCTAAGTAGGTCTGTGTATTAACTGAATATCTCCTACTAACATGCTTATTAAAGTAAAAAATAATGTTCTGAAAACCTCAAATAAAGCCAAATATAGAAGAATTAGAACTTGTAAAAGTCTATTTAAAACAAAATAAATTGCAATTGCTTTCAACATACTCTTGTATTTTTAAAATTATAGAATTTAACAATAACTATTAAGTAATTGTTATATTTAATAATAAGCTAAAACATGCAGTGAAGCTAGCTCAAAAATGCGCTGTTTGCCAGGGATGTTGCTGGTGGTGAGTTGCGTATGTTTCTTATTAGCAAAGTTTTAACTCTCCAATAGTAGCTTTGCATATGGAAATTTACGAGCGAGATGTTTAAAAGATAAAACAAGTTTTACTATGTTGGCATTTGCTCCTGATTTGGGTCAGCGTTGTATTTCTCTCTTAGCTACTGTTGCAAGTGTGAGTGTCTCCTGACCTCTGTAGCATTGCAGTTTACCACCCAAGGTTAATGCTACCATGAAGGACCCTGCAAGCAGCAGTTCAGTAGAAAGACTGGATCAGCATGCCATTGTGTTCTTAAGTTAACAGGACTGTGTTACGTACGTGAGGTGCTATTTTTTATTTACACTGCACAAGGCTTCAGAAAAGATTGTGGTGCCATTGCAATGTACAAGAAACAAAACCAAAACAAAACACAAAAGTATGTGGCTCTTACTCAGAAGATCTTACTGTCTAGTTTAAGAAAGAAAATGACAGTGTTCAACAAATATTAAGGAGGGATAAACAAACAAAGATTACAGAACAAGACAACTGTTCCATATGCTAAAAAGTGTGCCCAGCTGGATGGTTTTGAATCACTAAAAAGGCGGTATTTGCTCTGAGTTATCCATCATCCTGTGACAATGATTCATAAGATTTATCAGTAAAGAACAAATTAGGTCAGGTACTGCCAGGCACTTCTGCTTGACTAGTGCTTTGAGGTTGAGCTCCAGTCCTGCACTGCCCTGTACGAGTCCTTATTTCATTCCTCAGCACATCTATTTTGAATTTATTATGTGCAAGATAAACTAACCAATAGTTTGTCATTGAAAGACTTTTTGTGTTTTCTTGTTTATCAGAAGAGGCATCTATGGAGAGAAATCATTTAACTGGACAGCTTCTGTCTCCTGCTTCTTTTTCCCTTCATGGCTCATTTTATTTACATTAAAAAAAAAAAAAAAGCCAATAAAACTTAAGGACTTTAGTACTTAAACAAACCCCTCTAAGACATCTCAAACAGAAAATGCTTGTGAGAAGATGATCATTTCCACACCGAAGTAATAGCTTTACTCCCTTAGCAGTCACCTTGTTGAGAAGATAAACTAAGTATCTGCGACAGCTTCCAGGTGAAGCCTGGTAGATATTATATATTGAAGTAGATAAAGCAGCTGTGATTTGATCCTAGACTCTGATTTGATGTCCAGACTTGGAAATATGCTTCTAGAAATATACTGATTTTGTGAATGATTAAATTTAACCAATATAGGAAAATGAAATTTTGCAATCTTCCACAAAGTGAACTTGCAAATGAAATTTTCCTTTGCTTCAAATGCAACTTGTTTTATTGTTTTTAAGACAACGGGAGCAAATAGCAATTAAAAAAAAGTTAATATGTTTTGTTCTCAAAAGTGAATGAGTGAAGCATTGTCAGTTTTCTGGATGTTTCCAAGTTCAGTGTTTGTCCTGGCAGAATATGAAACTGTAAAAATATCTGACTAGTTCTGTTAGTCATATTCACTATCGCTCTCAAAAGATGACAGTTTTTCTGGGTGTTATTCAGAGGATTCATAGAAAAAGTTGTGATAGCATTGAAATGTCATTTCCCTGACACTGTCCGTCACTGTATATTAACTCACAAGTGGGTGTACGTGCGCGTGCACACACACACACACAGAACTTCTGCAGAATCAGGGTGTACGAGTGTTGTGCTGCCAATATGAGCTACCTCACCCTGGGTGCTCTTATTTCTAATAGCTAAAGGAAATCAATGTTAGCTGGCAAGGAACGCCTCTGTTATAAGTTTGTCTTGTATATATTTACTTGTTTATTGATTCAGTTCTGAAAAGAACCTGAGTAGAATTTAGCACCTGCTCTCTATCCTCTTCAATTAGTTCTCCTCCATTCTTGAAATTTCTTTTCTCATCAACTCTTGCCTTTAGAAAAACAGCATAACCCTTCAGTTTCATTGATTCAGTACTGTCAAGTGAGCTTTACAGCAGCTGAGGTTCTGTGTCTACATCTTTATTTTAATCAGCTTTAGTGAGGTGCATGTTAATATCTGCTAATAGTTAATCTATTAATTAGAAAAGGGTTAACGGAACATTTGGATGTCGAGAAGACATAGACTTTTGTTCCTCACCTCTGAATGAATGCATTAGAAATCTTTTCCTTAGAAAGCAAGAGCCTTTTCTGAAAGACTGAACTTCTTCTGTTTGAACAGTTCTGTCAAAATTATTTTGACCCATCCTATTAGACATACAGTGTCTGTTTTCCACATGGAAATGCATGATTTCTATATCATCTGCTGCTATACTTTTTACATACATTGGTGACCTCAGGGGATGCTCAAATTTCTGTATGTGAAAACAGGGAATGTAGGCAGTATATTTTATTGAGTTGTAAAATTAGTCTTAAAACCAAATTTTATTCTAGTCTTGTGGTACTGAGGTCTTGAACAAATATATCTTTGATGCAAAATGGCATGTTCTTGAAGCAGGATTCTGGAAAATGTCACTGAACGTTTTATGTAAGAGAGCAAGAGGATGAAAATTTATCTACTAAGCTGTTAGTAGGTGAAGGTGCATGGCAAAATGACATGTATATCACTGATAAACAGCACCAAGGATTTATAAACAATATTTAATAAAGTAATATATTTTTTAAGATCTTATCTGAATTTTTTACATCCATATATGGTATTTAACAGTATTTTTAGTATTTGATTAATAACAGAAACGAATTCTCTTGAAAATATTCTTCCATCAAGTGGGGGTTTTTTGTCTTGCTTTGCCTCATACCCTTTCAACATTATTAGCTAAGTATCTCTATCTAAGAAAATCTTCTATTTCTGTTTTTACATGGCAGTTGTTTCAATAACAGATATGCCACCTTTGCAAAATTCAATAGAGAAAATAAGCTTCTGCCAAACTTTTTCACCAATATTGCCATGACTTTGGTAAACTGCATGACTATAGACATTTGAGATTGATATTATTCTGCTGCAGAAAAGTATTACAACAGACTTAAAATATTCTCAGCAATTATCATCAGTCTCAGGTGTGTATAGCTGATACAATGTACTATAGTACTATATTGTATATAGTCAATGGAATAAGCATTCTACTCTCTTGGCTTTAAAACGTATGTGATTTGCTTCTCATGTAAATGGAGGTAGAGAACTGTGTGCTGTCTTTTAGTTTTGAAACAGATGAAACCGCTTGAGCCCACAATGTTTATGCTTCAGGTTCAGTCCAGACAGACTACAGCTGAACACTGAACAGAAAAATTCTCATGAAAAAAGCACTTCTCCCTCCCCCTTTTATGTTTCCCTCGGGAAATCTATCAGCTCTGTGCAGCAGTCTGTGTGGGCCTCGCTGGCTATATCACAAGAACAACTTTTATTAAATTTTACTTTAGCACTTGAGCTTCCAGGCGCAACATGAAAATGAAAGCAGGGGTAGAAATATTGCTTGCTCACACATTCCAAAAGCTTAGCTCAGTTTTAGTTGGAAGTAAATTTTAAAAACCACAAGGGCTTTTGAAGGCAAAGGTCCTACCTTTCAAAAATACCTCTCCCATACATGGTTGCTACGTCTAATTATGTTCCTTTTGGGCAAACCAAACTAAAACCAGGAGTGGCTGCTGTTCTTCCTATTCTATTCTCTAGCAGTTTAAAACTGATTCTTAACAGGAATTTTAAACAGAGAGCTGGCATTATATGACTGCCATTTTGGTTAAACGGTTATTTTTCCTAACCAGTATTCAAGTGCCTCTAATTATTGGGATGGCAAGCAGATGATGCCCCACATAGACCATCCCAGCTCAGCCTGAATTTTGGCTCTATAAAAAGAGATGTTTAGGTGAAACTGTAATTCTGAAAGTCGATAGGAGGCAATGTAGAGGATGAAATTCTCTGTACCCAGTCATGGCCATATTAGAATGTCAGAAAATATAGGTGCTTTAGATGCTTTTATCTAGGTCTGAAATGTTGTTCCTAAAATATTTCATGCAGGAGAAATCAAGCTAATGGCCCAGTCATTTCTTTGGTTGAATTTGGCAGCAGTCAAGTAGAAAATTAAAATCAGCTAAGTTTGAGCATCCTGCTGAGGTCAGGTACTATTTGGGTCAAGTTCAAATTTCAGCACATTCACTGTTAATTTTTATTTCAGGTAATTCAGACTATCACTGCAACTGACAAAGATAACTCTGCAAATGGGGCAAGATTCCATTTTTCCCTTGATGAAGGGCTTTCTGTGAATCCCAACTTTACTCTAAGGGACAATGAAGGTAAATCAACACATAAATCTCAAAGAAATGGGTCTGTGTTTTGTCTGAGATGTCTCATTGAACAGAACAATTTCTGTGCATTTCTTGACAGAAGGGGAAAACTGTAATCTGTCATCACTGAACTGGCTGATATCAAGGACATGGTTTGCAACATATTGCAAAGAAGAATCAGATATTGCATGTTATTTTTATATTCCATTTTATTTTAGCATTTATACTTCATACATTCAGGAATGTTTTTACAAAGTGGGTTAATGAAAAAGATGTTGGCAATTTGGTCTGTTTAAGTGAACAGCACTGACTGTCAAGGTTACTGCCAGTTATTGATTAAAGGAGAAAATAAGAATATAAGGGGCACAAAAAGTTGAATTTGTGCTTACTTTTATGGATGTGATACCAAAAGCAGGTCCTTCAGTGCTTCCTGGATTTATAAGTCTATTGCTTCATGTTCTTCCGAACAGAGTGTGCCAGTAGCAAAGCACAATCAGAAAACCGTAACAGATAGACCCAGAAGGGCCTCCAGAGTCACCCAGACAAGTGGTTTTGAACATTTCTGAAATCATCCAGCCTTTCCAAAAAACCCCAATATCAGCCTTAGTATTTGTTGAGTATTCCCCCCTGGTTTCCATTTTGCTTTCTAATGGAAATCAGACTACACTTTAAATACTTGTCTGTAGCTTTCCTCTTCAGCCTTTGTGTATGTGTTTTATTGTGTGATTCTGTTTTTATACATGTGTGGGAGTTGGCTTTATTTTACAGTTATATTTTTTCAGTAGTGCCATGGAATACCTTCTGAGATCTTACGGATCACTACTCATCTGTAATGACTGAGAAGCATTTACTCCATCATTGGTACATATGGCATAGACAGGGATGTTTTCACTGTTCTTTACAGGTATTTTTTACCTGTTTTTAAAACCTTTCAGGGAAGGAGACTGCACAGTCTTCCTAAAGAATCCGTTCCAATATTTAACTATAATTACTAAAAAAACTTGAGTCAGGCTATTTGTTCAGACTAGATTCATGGCCCTTATATTCTGGTTCCAAAAGAGATTGGTATCTATCTACATTAAACCCCCCTCAAAAAAAAAAACTAAGAATATTAGAAGGACTAATTCATATATTAAAAATATTCCCTAAGTGTTGGCTCCAGCCCTTTCCCAGATTAGTATATCACTTCCACTCAGATCATGATGGAGCATTATAGCAAAAGCCAGAGGATTGTTCCTGAAATAAAGGAAGTGTACTGTTGTGTATTTTTGCATTTCAGTCTAAGATTCAAATAAACTCAGTGAATACTGGACTGTGATCTCATGTGGGAGACTATGGCCATGTTCATTTCACTACAAGATAATTAAATCAGGAAGTGCTTTTGAAGTAATTATTAAAATTGTGTATCATGATGAAGTAGATATTGTATGGTTTTGAACGTATTTTTAATTGAGACCTGTATAACATGTGTTTATTACCAGTGGGAAATGCAGTGTTATACTTGAAGGACTGAGTGTCAACATAAGTTACATACCTACACAGACTTACAAAAGGGTGAGAACTTTCCATAAAGCTCTAATGCAGCACTGTCACGCTTTGAATATAAGTATGCCGCAATAAGTATTTGCTGCTTTCCCGTTATTTCCCGAAGAGCAGTGAGCAATGACTTTACCAACAACAGAAGGCAATGTTTGGGCTATTCTAAGTTGGATTTGGCTGGGGGAAGTAGGAGAAAGAACTGGAAAAGTAAAATATCAGTGAAACACTTAGAAAGTGCATTCACAATATCCAGTTATCTAGCATTCACAACTTTTGCATTTATCACATAATTCCTATTCAGATATTGAATTTGTGTTGCTTTCTATTTTAGGAAATAGCTGAGAGATGGTGGGCAGAAGAGGCTTTTCTTATGTCTGTGACCAGTTTGCACTTTTGAAAACTCTTGTTTTTGAACATCAGTTGTTAATAAGAATCAGAATACTCTTAACACGATGGCTGCTATTTTTACATCTGGATTTAATAGTTCTATAAAAGCTGACATTCTTGGAAGGTTTTATTTGTTTTGTTTGTTCTGTTATGTTTTTTAAAGAAAGAAAAAACTGCATCAGTTGCCTTAAAAGAGTTTTTAATAATGTCTAGCAGAATGAGAAAAACCAAAAACTCGATGTCACATTGAAAGTGGTAGTCCATGGGAGCTGTATCTCTCACTACAAAGCTGTGTTCCTTTTGCAGTCATCTTTGCCACCAGTCATCCTCTCTTTTTATTTCTTCAGGACAAAGGTTTCATTTCACAAAAATCTCAGTAGACATTTTCTTCCCTTGTTTTCATAACCCCGAACAACAGAACTGTGCTCTTTGAGCTCCAATACAGTATTGAATTAATGTTCCCCTCCTCCATTATCATCAGTAGAGCTACAGGATCAAAAGACTCTACAGCACTGAATTGGATCTTTAAATAATAACACTTACACCTTTGCACTTTGAAATCTAGAGAACTTGCACAAACATAAGAGTTCCTAGTTTGTCCCTGCCTACCTGTATAGGTTACAGCAATATACAGTCCCAGTATGTGTATGATTCAGGTCAATAATAGTCCACAGCTTCAGCAGAGGAAATAGATATTAAGGGTCAGTCCAGACAACTGATCATATGACCAGTTAAGCTTTTATCTCTTGGGCCTCAAGTTGTGCCTTTATTCAGTACCAATCCTTAGTGTTAAAACTCCAGCCTTTGAATATGCATCCTCATAATGCAGAGCTTAAAACCCTCAGGGAAGTGTTGGCCAGGAGACAGCCACAGGGCTATGCCAAATATGCAGTCCAGCAGAACCTAGAAGTTGCTTGGATCACCTTCTGGATTCTCTTGGTGTTTAGAATTTTCATTTCAAAGAAAAAAATGGACAAGACAGCATATGATCTGTTTTTTACTACTGACTGGATTCTTAAGCTGCTATTTGAGGGTTTTTTTGTATGCTGATAAAGTACTATTCAGAGAGAGTAAAGTCATAAGAGTATGAACAAGAGAACAGCCAACACAATAATGCAGTATCTGTACACGCGTAAGCAAGACAGAACAAGAGCTGCAATAGAATTTCTTTGCTATACAAAGAAAACACATTAAGTTGTAATCATTTCCCGCAATTTTAGAAAGCAAACCCAGGGAAGATGCATTTTTGTTTGTTTGGGAATTGTACTTACAAAGGCTTTTTAATGAAAACAGCACTGTTTACAATTTATTCTGTCACGAAAAATGTTGCAATTTCTATTAAAACCTGAGAAGCCAAATACTTTTTTTAATCTGGAGGTGCTTTTATGTTGCAGTTCAGATGCTACATAGCTCAGTTCATTGTTGTCTGTGTTCATCTCACTTTGGTTTTTAGGATGTTACAATAGATAATTTTGAAATGCTTTTTTCCCTTGTGTGCAATGTCTTAAATTTACACTTTTTGCCTAATCAGAAATATCTGCTTTTAGATATCCCATTTAAAATTTGCCAGGGCTATATGAGACTAAAAGCACCTTCTGTTGGTGAATCAGAGGAAAGATGAAAGAGCCTTTTCAGACGAGAGCTGGTTTTAAGTAGTGAATTTTAAAATTATACTTTTTTTTATCCTGAAAGAATCATAACATTTGTCCAGATGCTTAAAGAATGGTTGATATATTTGTTAGTTTGATGGAAAATGCATGTGAGCATATGTCATTGTTATGATATCCCCAACCATTAATATATAGCCACACACTTGCATAGTCTCTCTCTGTCTCTCCCTCTCTGAATTTCAAAAATTCATTTCCTCTCTCTGCCTATATTTTTAACCTATTAGAGACATCTTTCAGAAATTACACCACACTTTTCAGGGAGCTGGCAAACGACTGAACCCCCAGATGACAGTTCGCTGAGGTGCAAGAGAACATTTATGAATTTTAGGCACTGTAAAGCACTGTTTTGCCCATGGTAATTCTTTTTCTGCAAGATAGAGTCTACCATGGATGCTACAATGGGTATTGTAAATTTTGTGGATGATAAGGGTTTGTACATGGACTGTCCACATTCACCCAACACCACCAATAAGGTTTGTACATTCTCTTACCATAAGAAATTGAGATTGCCAATGTCTGAAAGTAGACAGTTTACCTTACTTTCAAGGAAGAAAAACTCCCTAGAGAAAACTTAGCATTTTTTCTCCTCCTTTTATTTCTCCAGGACAAAGGTTTCATTTAACAAAAATATTTGTGGTTTTATTTTTCACTTCTGCTCACTTTTCTCAAAGATCTGTCCTTTTGAAAACTGCTCAGTGATGGGGAATATTCTGGTGTTGGAACAAAGGTACACCATTTGTCTGACACTATCCCTGTGGAGATTCCTTTTTCTTAATATTATGCCACAAGATACTTTAATGCCCCCAGAAGCAGAGACCTGCTTTTTTTATAAAATCTGGAGCAGATTGAGTTCAATGGCATCTGAGTAAGATGAAATGTGCAATGTATTCATCCACCCATGCCTGTTCTGCAAATTAACATTTTTCCTGTGCTACAGATCAAAAATAAGTCAAAAAAGATCAGTTTTATTGGGCATTGCTGTTATTTAGGAAGAGAGCAACCTCCAGAGAGTAATTCACCCCATCGCAGTGTGAATTCCCTTGCAGAAGTTTCTGTTTATCTCTCTTCCCTGATATGTGCAAAATTCTTATCTCCAGATGTATTGCACACAAAGTCTGTGTCAGGCCACTGAACTGACTTCACGGGTTTGAAGTTGCAGATAAGGGTGCCAGATACCAGACCATGTCTTAGATGCTCTGGATTGTCTGAAGTGGCATTAAAAGAGGTCACGTTGAAACCCCCAGTTTGCAACCCAACGTAAGTGGGAAACAGCTACATAGTTCCTGCCTTCATTTACATCAAAGTGGCATGCTTGCTCTGGTTGTGTAGTACTGCAAGTTGTTATTGCTTTTCCATGAAATATCATCCTGCAAAGAAGACAAGCTGTAATGTGAGAGAAATGATACCTGAGAA